CCTCATTGTCGTGGAGCTCATGACCACATCCCGAAACTCACGACCCCATCCTGGAGGATGGGGGTCGCGCAGCCCGTGGCTTGAAGCTGGCCTAGAGCTCTCGACCCCACCTTGGGGCTCTTCCCCAACTTGGATGCATGGGGGGAGGGGGGATGGATGGATTTTTTTGTAATTCGCTAGACTTGCCGACCGAATCGAGAGGCCAATCCACGCTCGTGCCGCCCCTCGGCACGCGCACGCCCCTGAGGGCCCTGAGGGTGGAGGGGAGAGGCGCGCAGACCAGACTATTATCTCTCCGCCACTCCGCTCCCGCAGGCGGGAGAGGCTAAGCGCCCCAGGGCATTGCCCATCTTCGGGTGCAAACCTCCACGTATGCGATCCCGTGGCCGGCGACGCGCGTCATCCCTCGCTCTTGCCGCGGGGCTCCAGCGGGCCGCAGCACTCCCGAGCCAGGAGCCGCACGCGCACCTTGGAATGCCCTCCACACCACGCACACGCAGTATCCGTGATGCTGCTCCACCCTGTGCTTCATCTCATGGTGTGGCGCTTCCTGCCCGCCGCTGGCGTGGCCCATGACAGTGGCCCCCATCGCGGCTGTCACTACTGCCATGGCCGCTGCTGCTGCCGTGGACGAGTTGCCGCTCGTTATGGCCGCGCTTCTATCCCGCCGGCGAGCGAGCTCTCACGGCCTGGGCTGGCATTGGGAATGCCAGAGGCGACGACGCGGGCCTGGGGCCTTGGCCGACCTGCCGCAGATGGTGCAGCGAAGCCACTGGCCGATCCCCACCAGCGTGTGATTCGACACGTACAGGACTGGCGGGCCTGGTTCCGCCGGGCGAGGGCGCTCCGGCTTCGGGTCCACGTCGGCCCAGTCCCATTCGAGATTGTTGGGGCGAGAGTCGGAGGAGCGAGCTGGGGGCACGGGGCAACGTTCGGAGGGGCGGCCCCCGGTACATGTCACTGAGGGGAGGTTTACTAAAGTGAGGTCTATCCAGCCCCGAGCGATGAAGACTGCAATGGTTCAGATGGGCGGCGAGGTTAGCGTGGAGACCTCCCGCGGATGCGCCAACGGAGTGGTGCAGTCCGCTTTGAATGCGTACCGCCGCCAGCTTCACAATTGGTGGCCCGATACGCTCTACGCGAGGTATTCGGAGATGAACGACGGTTGGTGGCCTGGCTGGTCTGCTTGATTGGTGTGGCTGGCTGGTTTTATTACTTTGGCTAGTTATGGCTGGAACGAATAATCTGGCTGGTCTGGTCAGTCTGGCTGGTCTGGCTGATCTGGCTGGTCTGGTCAGTCTCTCGTCAGGATGGCGAAGCGAGATGCGACGTGGTTTGTGAACGCACGTGACATAAAATAAGTATGTGGGGTTCCTCGGTAGTGTAATTTCCTGCGTTGCAGTTTTAAGTTTCCTGCTGACCCGGGTCTGGATTGACCCGGGTCAGAAGATTGCCGACGTTTCGGGCTCGCAAAGCGTGGCAGGTGTGCAAGTTCCTCGACACCACAGGGGCTGCGATGGGGGTGGTCTCCCTATCCGTTTCGGTTTTGCAAAGCGTGGCAGGCGTTGCTTTTCCTCGACGCCGCAGGGGGTGCGCTTGGGGTGGTCTCCCTATCCGTTACGTGCTCGCAAATTGTGGCAGGCTTGGCACTTCCTCGACACCATAGGGGGTGCGCTGGGGGTGGTCTCCTTATCCGTTTCGGGCTAGCAAAGCGCGGCAGGCGTGGCAGTTCCTCGACGCCACAGGGGCTGCGCTGGGGGTGGTCTCCCGATCCGTTTCGGGTACGGAAAACGCTGCAGGCGCGGCACTTCCTCGACGCCACAGGGGGTGCGCCGGGGGTAGTCTCCTTATCCGTTTTGGGCTCGCAAAGCATGGCAGGTGCGCCACTTCCTCGACACCGCAGAGGCTGCGCTGGGGGTGGTCTCCCTATCCGCTTCGGTCTTGCAAAGCGTGGCAGGCGTTGCTCTTCCTCGACACCACAGGGGGTGCGTTGGGGGTGGTCTCCCTATCCGCTTCGGATGTGTACAGCGTGGCAGGAGTGGCATTTTCTCGACACCACTGGGGCAGCGCAGGAGATGGCCCGTGAGCGCGGCCGCTATGCACGACGGGCGTCCAGGGCATAGCAGGCGTGGCACTTTTCCGACGCCAGACGGGGTGCGCAGGGGGTGGTCCCTCACCGCGGCCGCTATGCGCGCCGGTCGTCCAGGGCAGCACAGCAGGCGTGGCGCTTGTCGACGCCATAGAGGGTGCGCAGGGTTTGGTCCCTCACCGTGGCCACTATGCACGACGGTCGTCCAGGGCATAGCAAGCGCGGCGCTTTCTCGACGCCAGACGGGGTGCGCAGGGGGCGGTCCCTCGCCGCGGCCGCTATGCGCGCCGGTCGCCCAGGTCACCGGGCTCGCAAAGTGTGGCTGGCGCGGCGCTTCTCCTCTTCCACCTCTGCTCTTGAGTGGCGTCACCAACGGTATCGGCGGGGCAACGGCCACCTACATCATTCTCACATGCTTCACCTCAGCTATCATCACTCCAGCCATAATATAAGTATGTGGGGCTCCTCGGTAGCGTAATTGTAGGGCGTGGGGTCCTTGAAAAGCTCAGCAGGAGGGTCCAGGAGGGTAAGGGTGCGAGACGTGTTGGGGGGGCGCGGCATGGGTGCCGGCTGGGTGCCGCCGCTGGTTTTTGTAGGGCGGGGGTTCCTTGAAAATCTCAGAGTCAGGGTCCAGGAGGGTGAGGGTGTCAGACGTGGCGGGGGGGCGCGGCGTGGGTGCCGGCCGGGTGCCGGCGCAGGCTTCTGTACTAGAAGGGGGGAGTCTTTGAAAAGCTCAGAATGTGTGTCTAGGCGAGTGGGGGTGTCAGACGTGGTGGGGGAGCGCGGTGCGGGTGCCGGCCAGGTGCCGGCGCAGGTTTGCACAGGGTGGAGGGTCGTTGAAAAGCTTAGAAAAAGAGTCTAAGAGGGTGGGGGGGTCAGACGTGGAAAGGGGGGCGCGGCGTGGGTGCCGGCGAAGGTTTTTGCAGGGTGAGGAGCCCTTGAAGAGCTCAGGAAGAGCATCCAGAAGAGCGGGGGTATCAGACGCGGCGGTGGGGGGGCGCGGTGTGGGTGCCAGACGGGTGCCGGGGCAGGTTTTTGTAGGGTGGGTGTTTTTGAAAAGCTCAAAAAGAGGGTCCAGGAGGGTGGGGGTGTCGAACGTGGCATGGGGGCGCGGCATGGGTGCCGGGCGGGTGCCGGCGCAGGTTTTTGTAAGGTGGGGAGTCTTTGAAAAGCTCGGAAAGAGGATCCAGGAGGGCGGGGTTGTCGACGCGGTGGGGGGGCGCGGCGTGGGTGCCGAGCGGGTGCCGGCGTATAGGTTCGTGCAGGGTGGGAGGTCTTTGAAAAGCTCGGAAAGAGCGTCCAGGAGGGTGGGGGTGTCAGACGTGGTAGGGGGGCGCGGCGCGGGTGCCGGCCGGGTGCCGGCGCAGGTTTTTTTTTGCATGAAGGGGGTCTTTGCAAAGCGTACAAAGAGGTCCAGAACATTAGGGGTGTCAGACGTGGCGGATGAAGCGCGGTGTGGGAGCCGGGCGGATGCCGGCGCAGGTTTTTGCAGGGTGGGAGGCCGTTCAGAACTTTAGAAAGAGGATCCGGGAGGGTGGAGATGTCAGACGTGGTGGGGGAGCGCGGCGTGCGTGCCGGGCGGGTGCCGGCGCATGTTTTTGTAGGGTGAGGGGTTCCTTGAAAAGCTCAGGCGGAGGGTCCAGGAGGGTGGGGGTGTCAGACGCGGTAGGGGGGCGCGGTGTGGGTGCCGGGCGGGTGCTGGCGCAGGTCTTTGTAGCGTGGGGGGTCCTTGAAAAGCTCAGAATCAGAAAGACGGCCCAGGTGGGTCATGGGGGCGTCAGACGCGATGGGGGGGCGCGGCGCGGGTGCCGGCCGGGTGCCCGCGCAGGTTTTTGTAGGGAAGGGGGTCGGTGGGAGGTCGTTCAGAAGCTCAGAAAAAGGCTCCAGGAGGGTGGAGGTGTCAGACGTGGTGGGGGAGCGCGGCGTGCGTGCCGGGCGGGCGCGTGGTGAGGGGGCACTTCAAGGTCAAGGTGATGCCGAGGGTAGGCAGCCCTAGGCAAGGAGGAGTCGAGTCAGGGAGCTTCCTCAAGCGGACGGTGACGCGTTGCCCCGAAGGGTTCGGCATTCGGCACGACCGCAAGCACGCGGAGATTCTGGTCAGCACCATGCTCAACAGGAAGGTCGGTGAGAGCAGCGGCACGGAGCGCGCGATCACCCCTTCCTCCAAGACCATTGGGAAGAATTGCGTGGAGTCATCGGCCGAGCTCAGCACGGAGTACGCGACCACCTACCGCAGCGTAGCACCAACTGCTTTGTACGTGGTTCACGACCGATTCGACGCGAAGCAAGCCGTGGGGTACCTCATGAGGGGCATGGTTGCGCCCACCTGGCACCACTGGCTACTGCTGCAGCGGCTGGCGAACTACCTGGAGCAGCGCCCGCAGTTCGAGCTCTTCTCCGAGTTCCAAAGGATGGCCAAGGTGACCGTGGCGGAAGTCGACAGCGATTGGGCGTCCGAGCCTGGTCGGAGGTCCGTGGACGGGGGGGTCCTGTTCATTGATTCGCACATGATCGACGGCTGGAGTGGCCAACAGGGCAATCACGCGCTGAGCAGCGCGGGGGCGGGGTTCACAGGGATCGCGAACGGTTCGGCGAGAGGCACTTGGTTGGGGGACGTGATGCTGGAGATGGGGTTCCAAGGGCATCGCATCGCGCTTGGGAAGTGGAAACGCGCGCCACGTAGAGACGAAATACCCCTGGGCGCAGGAGAGAGCCAGGGACAAGACGATCTCGATGGTGAAGATCCACGCGGACACGAACAGGGCCGTTCTGCAGACCAAGCCGCTCGAGTGGCCGAGATTCCTGAAGTTGCTGGCGACGCTTCCACTCCGGACGCCGCCCTCAGGGCGCACGGCATGTTTTCGGAGTGATGTTGGCGGCAACAATACTTGGCGGAGTTCAAGGACTGGAGATGGCCCCAGCGAGCCAGGCGGCGATGGTGATGAGCAGCCCGACCGCGATGTAACAGGTCTGGGCGACGGCCATCGCGGTGATGTTCGGATCGGCGCTGGCCATCGCGATCCTGTCCGCGTGGATTGGATACCGCGCGCACAAGGCTCGAGCGCGGTTCCTGAAGGGTCTCTGGGAGCTGGTGAGAGATCACGACGACCAGATCGCCCAGGCGGAGGCCCCACTTGGAGGGGAGCATCTGGCGATCGTGGAGAGCGGCATCAGCAGACACGCGCAGACGATTCCGATCAAGCACTACTGGACGTGGAGTACGACGGAGCTGCGCGAGGAGCGCCTGCGCTTGGGCAGCTATCGAGGACAGCTCAAGTTGCAGATAATCAAAGACCTGCTGAACGAAGCAGACCGCCAATGAACCTTGCTTGTGGCGCAGCAGCACCGGTCTACATACGCTCGACGCGCCGTGCTGGGGCGCGCGTCGTCTGTTTGAAAAGGACCCTCCTCGCCAGTAGCTCGAGGGCGCGAGGAGATGAAGCCCAGCGTTGAGGCGCTGGCCCTCAGAGGATGAGCTAAATACAGGCCCGCGGGCACAAGTGCCAGATCTTGTTTGTGCTAAAGTTTCTCAGGGCGGCTTCTGTTCAGTAAGATGAGCCCCAGGCCCTGTGCCGTATGTGACGGGCGCGTTTCTTGGAAAGCGATTCGGGAGTTTGCATCGGGTTTCTCACGGGTTTATGTTTATGCATCTGCAACCGTTGTGGCTCTAGCGCCCTGAGGTGAAAATATCATCGAGGATGTAGGCCCTGCGGGGCCCATCTCGATCCCGGAACGCTACCGCGATTTTGTGGGAATTAGCCGGGGTCGGGAGCCAGACCCCCCCCTTCCCCCCCTGCCGCCCAATGTCGAAACGCCGAGTAAGAAAACGTGCATCTGCTCCTTCAGTAGCTCGCTCTCTTCCCCTCCATTATTTGTACTCCTGCTTCTCTTCTTTTCTTCCCCGCTTTTGCCTCGCAGGCTTTATGCTCGCGATTTGGAGGCAATCCAATATTATCTGTCCAATCTAAGGGCTGCCGCCGCGGGCCCCGTGCGATGAGCTGCGGATTCATTCCTGGGCTGTCCAGGGGCTTCTAGGCGGTCTCGAGTCTCGAGGCCGTCGTGGAGGCCTGTTGGGTCACCTCGAGGCCCTTTTGGGCCGTGGTGGGGTCATCTTGTAGGCCTCCTAGTCCATCTTGAGCCTCCTCCTCCTCCGCGAACAAAAATGATTGCCAGAGTGCAGTATCCCCAAACAGGGTTTTTGCACCCACTGCGGTTTTCAAAGTCGATCGCGTGCCCATCCAGTGCGGGCTGGCATGGCGTGTTAAAACATTCCTTCTCCTCCTCCTCCTCCTCCTCCTCCTCCTAATCCTCCTCCACCTCCTCTTCACCCCAAACGGCATCTTGGAACCCAGAGTTGCGAGGATGCCTCCAGCATAACGGATTGGACCACCTCGCGCGCGGCATCTCGGACCCCAGAGTTGCGACGATGTCTCGGGCGAGACGTGTTGCGAGGAAGTCTCATGCGAAACAGGCCGGACCACCTCGAGCGCGGCGTCTCAGAGCTCCGAGTTGCGGGGGCCTCCTGGGGCCTCCTGGGGACCTTCTGGGGCTTCCTCCCGGGCCTCTTGTGGCCTCCTGGACCCCACCTGGGGTTTCCTGAAGCCTCTTGGGGCTCCTAGGGGGGGATATCTAGCAGGTGGCCGTCTGGGCCCCCCAAACTGCGGGGGGGGGGGCACAAAAGCAGGGAAAATCAACGAATCGACACCGAATGTGTATTAACTTGACACGTTCTGATAGGGGGTCTCCTGGGAGCCTCCTGCCTGGGGACCCCTGGGGCCTGTCCTGGGCGTCCTGCGGCCTCCTGAAGCTCTCTGAGGCCTCTTGGGGCTCCCAGGGGGGATATGTAACATGTGGTCTTCTGGCCCCCAGGCTGGACCACCTCTTGCGCGGCATCTGGGAGCTCAGAGTTGCTAGAATGTCTTGTGCGAAACGGGCTGGACCACCTCGCACACGGCATATCAGGGCTCAGAGTTTGGAGGATGTCTCAGGCAAGACGGGCCAGACCACCTCGCGCAGGGCATTTCCGAGGTCAGAGTTGCGAGGATGTCTCAGGCGAAACGGGCTGGACCACGACGCGCGCGGCATCTCCGAGGTCAGAGTTGCGAGGATGTCTCAGGCGAGATGGGCTGGACCACCTCTTGCGCGGCATCTGGGAGCTCAGAGTTTGGAGGATGTCTCAGGCGAAACGGGCCAGACCAACTCGCGCGCGGCATCTCAGGGCTCAGAGTTTCGAGGACGTCTCAAACGAAACGGGCCGGACCACCTCTCGCGCGGCATCTCAGAATGCAGAAGTGCGAGGATGTCAAGTGAAACGGGCCGGACCACCCCTTGGGCGGCATCTCGGGGCTCAGAGTTTGGAGGATGTCTCAAGCGAAACGGGTCGGACCACCTCTCGCGCGGCATCGGAGAGTGCAGAGTTTGGAGGATGTCTCAGGCGAAACGGGCTGGACCACCTCGCACACGGCATATCAGGGCTCAGAGTTTGGAGGATGTCTCAGGCGAAAGGGCCGGTCCACCTCTTGCGCGGCATTTGGTAGTCCAGAGTTTCGAGGATGTCTCAGGCGAAATTGGCCGGACCACCTCGTGCGCGGCATCTCAGAATTCAGAGTTGCGAGGATGTCTTAGGCGAAACGCGCCGGACCACCTCGCGCACGGCATATCAGGGCTCAGAGTTTGGAGGATGTCTCAGGCGATACGGGCCGGACCACCTCTCGCGCGGCATTTGGGAGCTCAGAGTTTCGAGGACGTCTCAGGCGAAACGGGCCGGACCAACTCTCGCACGGCACTTCGGGGCTCAGAGTTTCGAGGATGTCTCAAGCGAAACGGCCCGGACCACCTCTCGCGCGGCGTCCCGGAGCGCAACTGTTCGAGGATGTCTCAGGCGCAACGGCCAATCCTGGCCAACTCAGAAACCAGAGTTGTGAGGATGTCTCAAGCGAAACGGCCCGGACCATCAGATTTTTGTGAGGATGTCTCTGCTCCCCTTTCCCTCGGCCGGAGTTAGCTTCTATCACAACAGCACCCCGTTCAGCAAGCTGTTTGGGGAACAAGTATTGAAAAAGCTAGTGGGAATCCATGGCGTTTGCCTCTTGGAGCCGTGTTGGGGGCCGTTGGCCTCCTGAGTCTTCTTGGGGCTGAAGGCTCGAATTGTCGGTTCGTTTTCACCCTCTCAAGCCCCTTCTTGGGGCCGTCTTGGGGCTTTCTTGGGCATTCTTAGGCGCCTCCTGGGCCCTCTTGAAGCCCTCTTGGGCCGTCTTAGGGCCCCCCTTGAAGACTCTTGGGCCGTCTGGGGGCAGTCCTAATGACTTCTTGACTCGTCTTGGGGCGTCGGAAGCCCTAAAGGCGACAATCCAAACAACATTGAAAACGCAAAAGGACACTCAAGGATTTGCCTCTCGAGGCCCTCTTGGGAAGGCTCTTGGGGCTCTCTTGGGACGCCTTGACGACCTCGTAGGCTGTTTGGGAGCCATCTCTGGGCTGCTTGGGCCGTCTTGGAAGCCATCTTTGGCATATTGGGCGCCTTGGAGAGCGGCAGGGAGGTGTAAGGCAACCCAGCGAGCCTCGTGGAGACGGGGCAATGCAAGGCAGCGCGTCCTGAAGGGAGGTGGGGGCTTTCTAGAAAATTTGAGAAGCCCGACCAGAGAGACCTTGGCATTATTCCACGCCTCAACGTGCACAAGGCACGGTGGCGGATTCATCGCCATCCGTCCCCTTCTTTTCATCCGTCTCAGCCTTCTCCTCATCCTTCTCCTACTCCTGCCCCCCGTCTGCATCCTCCTGCACGGTTCCTGCAGGGCTCGTTGGATCGCGGTGGATCTTGTCGTCGTTGCCGAAAGCGGTCGACGAGTTGCCAGCGAGATCATTTTCCATGTTGGCATGCGGAGGTCGTCGCTCGTGCAGTAATCGAACGGTGCGTTCTCAGGTCTCTCCGTCGGTCTCTCTCGTCTTCCTCTTCCTCCTCCTCCTCCTCCTCCTCCTCCTCCTCCTCCTCCTTCTGTCGCTCTGTGCACTGCAGCGTCGTCGCCTTGCATGCGCCCAACCGCGAAGGCGGCCAGGCGCGGCCGTCAGAGGCACGTGTTCCCTTCGGACTCGGTCAGGAGCTGCGGCTCGCAGGCCGGAGGGGTGTCGAGCGATGTCGACTTGACGTTCTGATGTGCAGAGCCGTTCTGGCTCTACCAGCGGCTCAGGAGGTGCAGCTTCAGAGGAGCTCCCCGCTGTCCGAGCCGCCCCGCCTGGCCGCGCAGCACCCGCTCCAGATTTTTCTGGTGCTGGGGTGCGCCATCCAACAGCGATGCAAGATGGTGTCGAGCCTTTTCCGCGTGACTTCCACAACCTGTTCGTGATCGTGGTGTTTACCCTGGTGCTGGCCTGGATGGCGAAGGCCCAGGGAGGAAGCAATCTCCTACCGACCCCCCGAGGCTTGTTTTTACCAGATTGTCCTGCGTGCTTGCTCAAGAGTCTTTCTTCCCCTGTGACATTACTTCTTAAGTTGTGTTTTTTTGCTGGGCTTCGCTTGTAGGGGTGTTCACTGTGAGGGTGCTTATTCTGCCCTCTCGAAAGTGCCACAGCGTCTTGCTGCTCCTCTGCATCGTGACCCCCGATCAGGGGTTAACCTAGAGGCCCTTGGCGGCTTCTGTTTTCTGTGTATGTGTGTGTGTGTGATGTTGCAGTTGTTTTTATAGAAATGCTGGTCGGTAATTTGGCCGGAAGCGCCCTGACTCCATCCTCGATCCTCCTGGCCTGCTCCCCGGACCTCCTCCCAGGGTCCATCCCGGGCGAGTGCTCCGCTGCCCGCGCCCGGCCGCGGCGACGGGAGCCTCCCGGAGCGCTCAGAAGTCGTCAGCTTGACGACGCCGACGACGGCCCCGAGATGCGACGTCACGGAGATCCACGGCATCACACAGCCAACCCGCAGGGTGAGGATGAGCATGTCTTCTCAGAGGTTACCCCTGCGTCCTTCCCCCCTCGGCCCATTCTCGGCCGCTTCCGCTGTCCGCGCCCCGCCCGCAGAGTGTCGGCATGGCCTTCCGAGGCCCCTGCGTCCTTCTCGTGCATCCTGACTTTACGGGCCGACGGTAAGACATCACGCCCAGAGCTGTGGGCCCAATCCTTCCGCGGCGTGTTTTTCGAGTCGGGTCGATCCTTGAGGGCCCCAGGGCCCGACACTGGGCGAGACCGCCCAGTTCCAAAACATGCGACGGCCGAATCTCAGGGATCGTCGTCGGTCCTCTCTCTTCGATCGCCGTGGGATCTCGGCAGAAGGTGCTGTATCAGCTGTTCCGCGCCGCGGATCTCAACGCGCGCCTGTCTCGCAGCCAGTCGCTGCAGCTGGAGGGCATGAGCTTCTATGCGTCCGACTTCCAGATGCTCATCCGACAGCACTTCAACCAGATCCTGCGCATTAGGCCAGTCCCCATGCGAATAACGAACAACTGCCTAAACCTTTTCGGAGCCCCCCGCGGAGTTCTTGGACCAGCGATGGGCCTCCATGGCGGCGACTCCAGCGCTGCCCCTGGCGCGCTCCGCGCGCCAGGGAGGCGGGTCCAGCGCCGATCCGAGTAATCGGCCCGGAGCTCTGAAGGCTATGTTTATGCCGCAGCTTGTTCCTCTCACCATGAATCCTAGAATCCGTCGGGTCGTGCAGACAGGACGACGTCACGTGGTCGCCTCCATCGGCTTCGAGGGGCCCCCACCGGACCCTGGGGCCGTCAGCAGCTGCTCGGTATGGGGGGCCCGTCCCCAGGAGGGGCCCAGATTTCTCGGGGCCCACGTTGTGACACTATGCAGCATAGGAGGCCGATGATCTGCGATCAATTGCGAGCCCTGCAAGTGTGGGCCCGATCGACGCTGGGGCATCGGGCACCCTTGCTGAGGTTCGCTTGGCGGCCCATCGGTGTTCACTTGGCGGGCCACTGGCCACTTGGCCAACCGCGAATTCTGAGCACCCGCCAGTGTTCCAGAAATCTAACCCGCAAGGGTAGGCATCAAAGGCGGCTGCTTGGTGGAAACTTGTTTTATAATTCCCAACCCTCCTTTGTTGAGTATTCGTTTTGAATGCAGCACTGCTCGCGAGTCCTTCCTCCCGCCTCCTCCCTCCTCCTGCCCTCTCTTCGCCGTCGCTGGGGGGGCTGCGATCTGCGAAATTGTCGCCACTATCGAGGGCTGCTGGTGGATCCAGCGGAGTGAGGCACCGCGCAGGCCTGAGGTAGACCTCGCCGTCCCTGGGGGGGCTGCGATCTGCGAAATCGTCGCAACTTTCGAGGGCTGCTGGTGGGTCCAGCGGAGTGAGACACCGCGCAGACCTGAGGTAGACCTCGCCGTCCCTGGGGGGGCTGCGATCTGCGAAACCGTCGCCATTTTCGAGGGCTGCTGGTGGGTCCAGCGGAGTGAGGCACCGCGCAGACCTGAGGTAGACTTCGCCGTCCCTGGGGTGCTGCGATCTGCGAAACCGTCGCCACTTTCGAGGGCTGCTGGTGGATCCAGCGGAGTGAGGCACCGCGCAGACCTGAGGTAGACCTCGCCGTCCCTGGGGGGGCTGCGATCTGCGAAATCGTCGCAACTTTCGAGGGCTGCTGGTGGGTCCAGCGGAGTGAGGCACCGCGCAGACCTGAGGTAGACCTCGCCGTCCCTGGGGGGGCTGCGATCTGCGAAACCGTTGCCACTGTCGAGGTCTGCTGGTGGGTCCAGCGGAGTGAGGCACCGCGCAGACCTGAGGTAGACTTCGCCGTCCCTGGGGGGGCTGCGATCTGCGAAACCGTCGCCACTTTCGAGGTCTGCTGGTGGGTCCAGCGGAGTGAGGCACCGCGCAGACCTGAGGTAGACTTCGCCGTCCCTGGGGTGCTGCGATCTGCGAAACCGTCGCCACTTTGAAGGGCTGCTGGTGGGCTCGCCACTCTCGAAGGCTGCGTGTGGGTTCAGCGGAGTGAGGCACTGCGCGGACCTGAGCGGGACCTCGCTGTCCCTGGGCGGCCATGTCATGTTGTTGCTGCCCCGCCGACGTTTCAAGCCCCTTGCCCACAGTCTCCTTTTGGACCTTGCGTCTTCCTTGTTGACTTAGGGGTTCACTCAGTTACTCATCGTTTTTCCCTTGATTGGGGACCTACGAACCTTCCGAATGCCGCTCGCAAAAGTAGATGCGTCCATGTGACGTCGCCGCCTTCTCGTCAAATCTCTCAAGCTTCTCCTGCCCCGTATTGCGCAGGGGTTGGGTACGTCGCCAGGGTAAGTATGAACCTGGTCTTGAGGGGGTCTCCGGGAGGCCTCTTGTCGCCAGAGCTGGATTCCTCTTCGAAAAATGCAGGTCAACACGCCTCCCTGAAGATGGAGAGGTCCAGGGACATGTTTGTTGAGGTGAGGGGAGAATCGCCGCGAGAGAACGGGTCCTGTGGAAAAAACGCCCCCCTGATTGATCCTCCTCTGCAACCCCAAGGACAGTCGCATAGTGACTCGGAAATGTATTGGAGAAGGCTCTGGGTTCCATGACCGGTTTCCTTCAGGACTCCTTCCTTTTATGCCAGGTCACGGGGAGGGAAGCCCTAGCGACGTCAAATCGTCGAGGGTACTCCCAGGTTTTGTCCAACTTGAACCTCCCAATGGAGAGGACCAGCTCGTTAGAACATCTAGTTCTCCGATTTCTAGAATCCATCACCGTGCCTCTGGCACGAAGCGGAGTGCCCCAAGGCTTATAGCTGTGCTGCTGCTGCTGCTGCTGCTGCTGCTGCTGCTGCTGCTGCTGCTGCTGCTGCTGCTACAGCCGGGATTGTGCTCAAAACTGTGCCGCTGCTGCTGCAGCCAGCACTGTAGTTTCTTAAGGGCCCAGGCCACAAATTTCCCGGACGCTTTTGGCGCTCCCTGGGTGTTTCGCATGATTTCCGGGACAGCTGCAACGCCCCAAACGACCCGCAGACTTTTGCGGAGCTTCCCACCGAGCGCCCAGGACGGTCAAGAGCGCTTCTAGACGGCCCAAGAAGATGGTCCCCAGCTGGCCCAAGATGTGCCCAAGACGCCCCAAGAGGCCTCCAAGCGGCCTCCCAAGAGCGCCCCAAGAGGCACACATCATAGCCCATTGTTTTCCGATGCTTTGGGGGATACTCGCGTTTTCCGCTTCCCGACGCTGGCCCAAGATGCCCCCAAGATCGCCCCAATACGGCCCAACAGGCAAACAAGACGGCCCCAAGACAGCCCAAGAGGGCCCCAAGACACCCCAAAAGGCCTCCAAGTCGGCCCAACAAGCCTCCCAAACTGCTCCCACAGGGGGCCCAGACAGGGCCCCCCAACGGACATTCCGAGCCCGTGGCCCCAAGAAGCCCCCGGGAGGCCCAAAGAGGCCCCCAGATTGTCCCCGAGAGGCCCCAGGAGGCCCCCAAGAGGCCTCAAAGAGGCATCCCAAGAGGGCCCCAAGAGGCAAACATCCCAACGAACAGCCGAGAGGCCTATGGCCCACAACCCAGGCACCGTAGCTTGACGGAGCGAAGGCCAGTTGGCTCAAAATGAACCTTTGGACCCCTCCCGGGGTTCATCCTGGCCAGTATTTCGAGCTGCGTCCAGCCACGGTGAACAAAACTTGACAAACGCCCAAAGACCTTCCAACCGTCCTCGATCCTCAGCTCCCCTCCTCGTCCTCCTCGCTGGCTTGGCGGGGCCTCTCCCTCGTCCCTCCTCATCGGCAGCGGTGCCACCTGTAACAGAGGGCGCTCTGCCTTGTCCCGTCTTCCTCTTGTCCTTCTCCTCCTCCTCGGACACTCGATCCTCGATCCTGCTACCTCACCGTTGGACACAGTCCCCTGGTGTAGGGGATGCTGAGGAGCTAACGACACTGGGGGAGGCGGGTGGTACGATCGACGGAGTATTGTGAATGCTGCTTTCTGCGGCAGCTCGGCTGAGCGGCCAGATCTGCCAGCTGTGAGCACCGCGTGAGCCCGGGATTGCGGCCGAGACGGCAGCGTACGCAGCGAAAGGAGGGGCAGGAACGGAGAGGCAGAACAGATCTTGAGCAGCGAGTGGCGCCTGGGCGCACATGTTGCGAAGGGCCGTGGCCGTGCGGTCGGGAGCGCTTCCTTCGCACGTCGCGCCACTTGTTCCGGCCCACGGCCTGGCACGCCGACCACCTCCGGAGGACTTGCCAGGCGTCCACGCCCCGAGCTCTGCCGCGCCCCCCGACCCCTCGGAGCGGAGCGACTCGCCATCGGCTCGCAGGGCGTGGCGTGTCGCTGGGGCTGCCGTCGCGACGCTTCAAGCCGGCTGCTCTCCACCGCGTGACCCCGGCTGTGTTCTGGGGGGCGCACTGCGAGGTCTTGGCGTGCTCCCGGAGAGTTCTGGAAGTTCTCGGCCGCCTCTCCGGCCCTGAGCGGGCCTCTGCCCCGCCCTCCCCGATCCAGGCGCACGGTCCCGCCCAAGCCGGTCGCGAGGCGCGCGCCGTCATCAGCCGCGGCCGCCGCTGTCGTGGCTGCCGCCATCGTCACCGTCGTCGTCATCGTCGTCATCGTGGTGTCCACGTCGGCTTCTGGGGACCTCCTTGAGGCCTCCTGAGGCCTCCAGGGGTCCGAAGAGGTGGTCGTCGTCGACTCGTCGTCGTCGTCGTCATCGTCGTCGTCGTCGTCGTCATGTCGTCCTGTCGTTCTGTCGTCCTGTCGTCCTGTCGTCGTCCTGTCGTCATGTCGTCGTCGTCGTCCTGTCGTCCTGTCGTCGTTGTCCTGTCGTCTTGTTGTCGTCGTCGTCGTCGTCGTCGTCGTCGTCGTTGTCGTCCTGTCGTCTTGGTTTTATGCAGTCCGTGTTGTGTTCGTTGTTGCTGTTGTGTAGTCGTCGTGGTCGTCGCCGCCGCCGCCGCCGCGCCGCCGCGTCCGGGGCGCTGGCCGATGATCGCCGACGAAGGCCGTCGACGGCCGCCGAGGGCCGCGGGAGGGCCGCCGAGGGTCTCAAGCAGGGCTCGTCTCGATTCCTCCAATTCGATTCGATTTCGATGGCTTCCGATGCCGATTCGGTTCGGCTCCAGATTCCGCTCTGGGATCCGATTTCTCGATCGAGGCCTGCTGGCCCGCCGATGCTTGCCCACTCGACTCTCCCCGGCTCGGCCTCCGGTTTCCGTCGATCCGCTTCATGTCGATGGCCGGACCCGACTCGTCGATCCGATTCTGGGCTCTCCTGCCCTCGAGGCACGCGCTGTCGATCCACCTGCACCCGGACACCATCGGCGTGCTCTCCGGCAGCGGGCCCCCGGGCGACCGCGCCTCGGGCGCCTTTGGCGTGCAGGCCCTCCGATTCGCCGCAGCCGTCGTCGTCGCCGTCGCCGTTGTCGCCAGCGTCGTCGTCGCTTGAGCGTCGAGAGTCGAGGTCAAGGTGTTCTGCCGTCGCTCGGAGATCGCCATCGCCGCTCTTGCCGTTTTCGTCGGTCGTTGCCGTCGCCGTTGTCGCAATCGTCGTCGTCGTCGTCGTCTGGCAACCGTTTCCTTTGATTGTCGTAGATTGTCATATGTTGTCGAATCCGTTCAGCAGTCTTCCAGTGTTGCCGACGGTTCCGGAGGGCTCCAGAGGTTTCCCAGCAGTTCGTCCTCCTCCTCCTCCTTTCTCCAGACCCTCCTTCTGCTGCTCCTGCCTCTCCACTCGCTCTCGCCGGCGGGCCTTGTGAATCGTTGCCCACTGTCTGTGGTTCCCCTCTTGCTGCTGCTCCAGGAGGCTCCTCCTGCTGCTGCTCCTCTCCTTGCTGCTGTGGTCCAACTGCCCTCCGCACAGAGGCCCCTCCGGAGAGCCGCGAGGAGGCCTGCCGTGGCCTGCACGGAGCACTCCGTAGCCATTTGTGGCTCAAGAGCTGGCTCCCGCGCCAGCAGGCTCTCGCAAGCCAACCGGCCGAGCGGTCCCCGCTCCGCGATCCCCGCTCCGGCCAGCCCCGCGATGGCCGACTCGATGCCCGAGGCTGCCCAAGTCAGAGCAGAAGCTCCAGGACGCCTTCACGGAGGCTGCCGGAGAGCCGGGTCCCTCGCGATCCCTGGGCAATCCGCAGCTCGAGCAAGGCAGGCGCAGGGCGGAGCAATGCGCACGTGCCTCCTCGAGGTATCCAGATGCAGCTTCGAGCAACGACGAGGTCAACCTTGCAGTGTTGCAGGCCATCGGAGCCCTGCCCGCCGATAGGATGGACAAGATGGCCTTGAAGAGCGACCGTGAGGCTATGGCGACAAGCCTCAGGGAGAAGATGAAAACGTCGGTGTCGGAAGCCACTATGGAGATCCGGCGTGACATCAAGACTTCGGTATCGGCCGCCGTCGACCCGGTCGAGGGCCTCCTGGACGCCCTTGACAGCCGCGTGACCCTCATTCCTCGAAACCCGTCCTCATCTTGGTTATTAACCTTCGTCTTCTTCGCCTGTTTCCCAGGACCTTCTCAATACAGTCAATCGTCTTGATCCAGCATTCCGCCGCGTTGCTTTTGTTGCTTGGCCAGATGAGGTGTCGGCGGAGTCCCGGGTCCAGCACATGGAGAATCTCGTGAAGACCAATTTTCCGTCGTTTCGCCTTGGTGGTTTTGGTGACAAGTTTCCAGGCCTTTGCAACAATCATAATTCATGGAAGGGTTCTTGGATTGAGTTCTGCAGCCCTGACATGGTTAAACCGTTCCTCGCCCGCGTCGACGGCTCGCAGACGCACTGCATCGTTGCGGGCAAAGCACTGGCCGTCCAAGCTGCCAGGACCCAACACCAAAAGAAGAGGAACGACGCAACCCGGAAAGCAGAGTCCCTGATCAAGGAGTCACCCGCGTCCTTTGGCAAGCAGGTTGGGATCTTTTGGAGGGTGCAGGGCTCCCGCGAGCGACGCGTCGTTGTCAGCAAGGAGTCGGCCTCCAAAGTTGCCAGGGCGACCTCAAGGCCCTCTTCCTGCCTCCGTGCACAGCGCTACCGACAAGTCCCAGCATCATGATGTTCACAGGCCCGCCAGCCATCATGTGACACTTTCGGGGGAGTATAAGACCCGGGTTTGCCGGGACTCGGGTTCGCCATCGTTTTTTGACGACCGCGACTCGGATTTTGACGAGGAGGAGTTTTGTGGGATGTCTGCAGCGGGAGGCCTCGTCAAAATGCAGGCTCGGCCTCTTCATTTTTTTGACGACCTCGTCGGGGATTTCCGAGTCCCCCGTACCCGGGTCTTACGTCTCCCCGACACTTGAGCGGCCCCAGCTATCGGGTTCCTGGCGTCTCCGTCGCCATGCTCCTCGTTCTGTACATAGCCCATACACGCGGCACCAAGCTTGGCCGGCGGCGTCGGGCCGTCGATGCCCTCCAGGCGACACCTCGCGGAAAGGCGAATTGGAGTCGCCTGTTTCAGGAATTCGCTTCGCCACCTTACTTGTCAATCCGCGCGTGTTTGACATACCATGCCCGATTATGTCAATGTCTCTCTCTCTTTCTCTTTTGGGCCGATCTCCCAGACCGAGACTTTACTGGACCAGTCCGTCTTGCACCCAACGTTGCCTAGCTAGGGAAATATCCCGCGGTTGGACCAGTGCGACGGCCTCCAAGGATGCGGGACAGCACGATTTGCCAGGCGCATCATCCACATTGGTGATTCGGAAGTGTGTGAACGTTCTTGCGCATAGTGCACACTGATCGTGGGCCTTTTCTGTTTGCCCTGTGGTTTCGTCCTCCAGAGCTGGGTGACATTGATTCTATAGCACCCCTTGAGCGCGAGTGGCAATTGCATCAGGACCTCGCGGTTGGCACCCTCATCGCGGGAAACATGAATGTGTGTAGCACAAACCGTGGATGCATTTGTCCGATGACAGCTCCCAGGGGGGCACAGATTTTTCAAGGTGTGCGCTGGCATCGGCCTGTTCGACCAGGTCGGCAAGACCACGCGTGGCAACTATTTACTCGATCTTGTCTGGTCGGATTTCAAGTCAGGAGTCTAATGTACAGTGCGCCCGCCCATTTGCGATCACCATGTCGTTCACGTGAAGATTGCATTGCGTGTTTCTCGCAGTCTTCTTTTCCAGCGGGAGCAGTGGTTGTTAAAGAAATCTGGTTGGAATGGTTTTCGTGGGGCCCTAGCTGTTGTTGGGTGGCCGTCTCTACTTGCCAAGTGTGATCCCAGTGTTGCAGTGTTGAAGTTCACAAAACTGTTGATGAGCATTGCCGGGCGCTTCGTCCCGACCTTCCAGACGACCACCCGCAAGTCCATTCACCCGTGGCTGAAGGACAGGTGCTTCATATTCATAGTAGCGAAGATGGACGCCCATGGGGCGCCTGAATACGAGTCCCGGCAATGAGAGTGATCCGAAAGATTGTTCCAGGAGTATCGTTTGCACACAGCTCGCACCCGGCAGCGCGCAGTTGCATTTGGCCCGTTTTGCAACAAGCGGTGGTCGTTATGTGATTCCCGCCGTTATTGTCTGCAGCAGGGTCACGGGCAATATAATCGAAGCGAAAGTTCGGCTTACCACACAGTGGCATACGAGATCGACGCCAACGTTGGGCACTCAACGCCGAAGTTCAACCCCATACGCCGCCGAGGCGTTTTACGCTTTCTCAGGTGTCTACGGAAAGATTCTGGCATGGGCCCTAGCGAATTTCCAGCGAGCTTGCGAAACAAAGTGCCAATGAGCTCGGTTCCCATTGCTGTGATTGCCTGGCTTATCTTTCAATGTGGTGTCTGGCTTTCTTCTTGGAGACTGCAGACTTTACTGGCTGCTTCCGCTTTGCAAGCGCAATTCACGCTCCAGCGCCGGCAACGATCGCGGTCGACGGTCATGTATCAGATCATCCAGGTTGTTGAAATAATGGTCCCGCGCAGACTTCTTCGTTTTTTTTGAGGATGTACGCATGTACGGTCGAAACAAGCTTGCTTACTACAGTGGCCGCGGGTATCGCGACGCCTCAGCGTATACTGCATGCCACTGGGTCTGGGCAATTGGCGCAGGGTGCCAGGTAGTACTCCATAGCTCCGCCGTGTCATGCGCATTCGGCGAGTTTTTTTTTTTTTTTTTTTTAAAATAAAAAAAAAAAAATCCAGAGTTCTTGTGGAAATTCGTGCCGCTGGGCAGTTTTGAACGGCTCGCGAAGGTAATTACTTCTTGGCTCGAGCCTCGCACCGCCAGGGCCTGCGTCGACGGCATCCTGTCTGAACCTTTTTCCGGTAGGCCCGACGCTGGCTTCGAAGAACGCGCGTTCGCTGGCGACCTGAACTGTTGGAATATATCTAGCGGGTGTCGCAGTCATTCGGGATTTCTTCTAGAACGCCACTCCTGCGGCGCAGCCAGCCAGGTGCTGTTTGAAGCAGAAAGGACAGGTCACACATCTTGGACAACATATCTCCTCGTCGCGGTGACAACTTCAGGATGCGAAGTTATCGATGTTATATGGACGCGGTGGTCGCTTTTATTCACAACGTGATCTGGTTCGCCTGTACCAGTTCCATACTTTGTCGTGCATCGAAGGCGCCATCTCATCTGCATTGCAGGCCACATCTACGATCCTGAAACTGCATGAGGACGTGCAGGATTTTCTTTGCAGCACGTTTCTTTGATGGAGGGGATTGCACTATGTGGCCACAAGTTTGCATCGTCAGCGATGAGGCGGGACATGGCCATCGCAGGCTTACTGTTCAAAGTTTCGGCTGGCAAGGCCCATCCTTTTCTTTCCTCTTTGTTCCCTCCTCATTCCGGCCTCCTTTGCTCCTGCGGTTTTATCGGCAACAGACGTCTGCGCAGCCAGGCCCTCAAAGACCCAGTCGAACCTGTTCCCCCTTGATCCCCTCTTGGCATGACCAGTGTAGTTGGCCATGTTTCGCAACAGCATCTCCTTGACTGCCACTATGTCAAATTATTCCAGGCAGCCTTGCAATTTGAACAAAGAAGGCTGCAACACATCTCACTCTCGATCGTGGCAGCTTCTGTATGCCGCGTCGTGCCGCGCCCGCTAATTGCACAGGGTTCGGTCGTGGGGGAACCTCAAACGGCCTTTTAGGGGACGGGCACGAATCATAAAAAAGGCCTTCCTCCTCCATTCGATCGAAGAAGACGAATAAGACAAATAATTAGAAACATAGTAGTAATAGTAATAATAATACTAATACTAAGGATGGTGATGATAGTAGTAGTAATAATAATACTGATAATAATAATAATACCAATAATAATAACAATAATAATAATGATAATAATAATAATAATCATAAGCGACACCTA